GTTTTGAAAAAGGGGAAATGAGTCAAGCCTTCAAAAGAAACCTTTAAGTTTTGGAAGTGGGGAATGTCCTGAATGTTTGAATAAGTTTTTCTTTCTCTTTGATTTACACTGTGTATGATTGGTCTTGGTGGAGGAGTGGGCCCTTTATTGTAAGAATTACTTTAATTGTATGTTCAACTTCTTATGTTTTTGTAGCTGTATTTTAGAAATAAAATTAAATATGTGAACCGAGGGGGAGGTACCATACTGCCCTGCACCACAGGGCAGCAAAATATCTTGGAACAACCCTGTGAGTTTGTTAGGGGAAGAAAATTGATGCAGGAAAGTTTTGCCCCTGTGCAGACCAGCTGCATATCAGCTTTGTGGCCTGTGCCTTACTCACCAAATCACAGTTCCATTTTACACTGATTTCACACGTGTTCAACAATGACTGAAATCAGAGCCACCTACAGATAATCTGCCATGGCATCAGCATGGAATCTTTTGTGCCATGCCAAAGGCATCTTTATTTTACTAAGTCTTCCAAACTGGAATAGTTGTTGCTTTTGTTTTCTTGCAAGTTTTAGTATTTTCTCAGTGTTTAATGAAAGGTTATATTTCAGATAATAACTAAAAAATACTTTTTGGTTTCCAATTTATAATTTGTATTGTGTGACTCTTAGTCTACATCCTACCATATCAGAACAGCAGGAAGTATGGTTACGAACATGAGGATTCCTAATATAAAATTGTATAATATGATTAACATAACACAGGCATAGAGAACATGGGCTGTCCAGATGTTACTGAACTTCAATGCTCCCTACATTCCAAAAAGATCTGGCTACAGTATGTTCCCTACCAGTAATTGAAACAGGAAAGAGGAGGAAATGATGTTGAAAAAGGGAAGGAAAAATCACAGAACTAAAGATGGTTGTTTTATGTGAAAAAAAACAATCAGCAAGGAAAATAGCACTGTTTTTACAATGCTTATTGTTTGGTTCTGATACTGGATGTTCCAGCCTAACTTTATTTATTGTAAACCTGCACAGCTCCAAAATGTCAGTTAAATTATTTCCCTTTTTCAGTAAACTGTAAATTAAGAAAAGACACATTCCTTGGTCCAAGCTCATAGAAGACCAGAAGCCATAATTATTGCTACTTGGAGCAAGTTCTGTTTTTTTTTTTTTTTTTTTTTTAAAGAGCTATATATGCTGACATTTAGCTTCTAAAATTTGGAGAAAGGAGAACAATCCTGCTTAAATGTTATGATCACTGCCTCTTCTAAACTAGAACCCTGAAATGACTTGAACTTCAGCCAGCAAATATTTTAATAAATATTCCCTTTTATAGTAGGAAACTACAGTCCTCTCAAGTACTTTACCTACAAAGCTTAGGATGCAACTAGTAGCTAGTGGTAGTATCATACAACTAGTAGAATCTTGCTCTTATGTTACCACCCTATTTATGTTATTGAGGTTCACAGCCTCTTTAAGCAGATACTGCAATTATGTAATCTCCGAGGACATTGCAACATGCCTGGAACATGTTGCTTTTCTTGGAACTCACACCCCTTTACCAGGAATTAAGGAAGAACACCATGTTAGGGATGGTGGTGTCTTTGGACCACTGAACCAACCTGCAAGGAATATCTGCTCTCCTCTCTCCTTACAAAGGCATATGACAGAGCCGGAGGCACAGAAGAGCAGTTCTGATGCAGGCACGCATTTTAAGCTGCTACACAGGAGAAGTACAGCTTAGATCCTTTGGCTGACACTGGACACCTGAAGATGATAGGTACTCAGTATAGGAGGAAGCAAGACAAGGTTTTCATTCTCCATCTGTAGAAGATAATAGTTTTGTTCACATTAAAACTCCAGTGCAAAGTAGTGTGAGATGGACTCTTATTCCCATCATTTTTCAGCTACCACACATTGAGGGTGCAGGCACGAATTGCTCACTTGAAAATCAGGTAAATAACAAAAATATTTCATTAAACAATATAATATCAAGAATAGTCTCAGAAGCATCTAGTAGTATTGTTTTATTGTTTTTAATTGTACATTTGTGAGCCGTCCCAAGATGCCAAGGCATGTGGTGATGACATATAAAAGTTTTAAATAAATAAATAAAGCCCTTTCTGAGTCAACCAATTTCAAATATTACAGCTTCTCTTTCCTCTCCCCTCCCTTTGCCTGATGGTGATCTATTAATTGCCTGCTCTAAGTGCTTTACCAAATACACACCCTTTTGCCTGGTGCAAGTAAGCTTTGGGACTGTACCTTTATTCCATCATCTCTTACTGTTCTGCTGTCTCTGGATATAAAACAACATAGGACTTGATGTAACACTTGGCTCAATTTTACCATGATCTCAGTTAAAATAGAGATATCAGGATCACGGAGACCTTTGGTATAGATAATTCTGAGGTGCAGATTGTAGGTCAATCACAAGGAGAGCAGTCACTGGTTATGTTAGTAGAAAAGGTGCTGAAAGAGCATACTAAAATAATCCAGCAAGCTTAAAGTAGGTGAGGCTTCTTTGCTCAGAAAAGAGATGAGCAAATTGTGACATCCATCAAATAAAACTCAGAGATGTTCACTAAAATGGGTAAGCAGGAGGCATTGCAAATAGGCCCCCTCCCTCATTTACTATGTCCTTTGTTTGCTTGTTTTAGGTTTAGTTTAGTTTAGTTTTTGTTGAAGCTTGCAGTGTGAGAAACTGTCTTCTGCCCCTCTTTTATTTATACACACACATTACAGTTTTTTGTTGCAAAACCTCCCAATTTGTATCAATGGAAGTTTACTTTGAAATACAAATACTATATTTGGAGAGATAATTTTGTCAGGAAGGTGACAAGGAAATAAAGAGTTGTTTTATTTCTTTGCTTTTCTCCACCTTCCCCCCCCCCCATTCTCTTCCTGGCCCCCCAGTATTCTAGGCAACATCTTGGGACAGCCTAAGCAAGTGAAGTCTGCTTGCATGAACAGACAACACATATTCACTGGAGTGACCCTCAGTTTTAAATCCTGCAGAACCAAGGAAGGATATCGATGGATGAGATGTATCTTCCAAACAGGCATTGCCCCTTGGGATTAGACATGAATTCAAGGGCAGGATTTGGACATTAGGGATGTGTGCAGTCTAACATATACACAGATGTGCAGCTGGGGAGATAGGCCATTGGCACCTTTCAACAATCCAGGAGGGTGTAGGTGAAATCTGAACATAGGCAGCCCTCTTCTTGGAAATAGAACCAATGGGGGGATTCTTGTCCATGTGCATGGAAAATGTATGGAATATGATCGCTAGATTGCTAAGAAATAGAGAAGCAACACTCTTTTTAACCCAGACAGGTGCTTTTTTCTCAGAACGTTCTCCACATTAGTCTCCCGAGACAAGGGAGTGACAGACTGAAAGATGTGGGGAGGTGAAGGTGAACAAGGCTGGGTTTGCAATAATACAAGCCAACGCCCAGCTTCTGAGCTGGAATGTTGGCATGAATGCCAAGAGAGCAATAACTTTTTTTCCCAACTGGAATAGTACATTGGTCTTGCTCTGGGGCTGTGCTACTTAAAAGGAACCAGGGAAACTCCCAGATAATGTTTATTTTGTTCCTGGGACAGGCCTGGAGACACAACAGCTCCTAAACCTGGTTGGGTGGCAGCTAATGAGACAGTTGCCCAGAGAATTGTGGCGAGGATTTCCCCACCCAAAACCTATGTCACTACAGAGAAGCATAACATGTCTCTCAATGGGACTGGCTGCCCATTGCCCAGCTGGTGTGTCCTGATTCAAGGTGGAAGGACTCACATGGCTGCCAGTGAGGAGGTTGATGATGATGATGATGATGATGCAACCTCTTCCCCATTTCATGGGATTGGCATTAGGCGTAATTAGCTCTTTGCAATGTGTTTGGCAATGGCCAGATGAAAAGGGAGTGCAGCATACCCATCGTGCAGAGCATTTTTGCTCACAAGATCAAAGATGGGAAGCAGAGTGGAATCAGAAGGGAGGTACACCTGAAGCAGGGTTTGTCTAGTCCAATGGCAGCATTACACAGATGGAAGGAACAATGTATAGACATACATTGCGGGAAAGATTAATGGGCAGGAATGGGGAAACTGATTTGAATAGCATGATGGGAACACCAACCTGCAGCTCCATCCCTCATTCTCTAGACTGTTTGCTTATTTAGAATGCTATTTAGGTCACCTTTAAGAGCAGAACCCTTTCCTAGGATATTCTTGAAAATCCTCTCCTATATCAAATGAGGGCACTAATTATGTTTTGACAAGTGGATAAAGGAAACAAAATAGAAGAGAAAGCAAGTAACATGAGTTATCTGTATGTCAGAGATCTTATTTTACATCCTGCACTAACACTTTTGGACATATTTAAGTTGCAACCATATACTACAGGAACTTGCAATGGCATCTGCCATCGAGAAGAGGTGCAATATGCTGAAATAGTCACATGAGCAGTTTCTGAATAATGCTGTAGGAAGTTAAGCTTTCCTAGAAAAAGGAAGATGTCCCAACATGTTTTGAGCTGTTACCTTCTGACAACCATTATGTTTACCAGTTTGCAGATGGGATGTATAACAAATCAAATATCATGTCCAGCATGATATTTTTCAAGGAACTCTTTGGCTGAAAATGAAAGGAAGTGGGGACAAATGGACAGGATCCAAACACAAATTCCCAGTCCATTTGTTCTTGGAGCTCTTACTCCCATAGTATGCACCCTAGTATTTTGTCCCCAAAAGCACACTGGGAGCTGTTTCTGAAGCATGATGTTAGGATGTTTGTTATCCATCATGGCTGGAAATGAGACTTGGTTATGTGGGAGAATCACCAAGCATGAAAACATGAAAATGAAGACTTTGACACAGCAAAAGTGCATGTAGATTTATCCTTCATGCTGCTGCTTGTTCTGCTACTGTCAGCCTTGATCCTTTCTTACCTGTAGCCAGTTGTTAAACTTGCATAATATTTAAGAGACAAGAAAGACACAGTGTAGACATAAGGGAATATGTTTGCCTGGATTTGAAACATACTCCCCGTACACACACACACACAGTTTATTGAAGCCAGTTTTGGCACTCCCAATGGTGACACCAGTCTTACAAAAACTTTATAGGATCATGTCAAGAAGATTAACTCACATATCCAATTTTTATCTTTAGTACTTTTGCAGATGTTTTTCCATTGTTTATACACCTAAAAGCAGGTGCTCCCTTTCTACTTAAAAAGAGAAGGAATGCTAGCAGCCAACAGTTCATCTGTCTTACTCATTTTTTCCATGCGAAAAGCACATCCCGAACATAGTAGTTACTGCTGCACATAGGAAAAGTCCCTCTAGTGGAGGAATAGGAATATTTGACCTTTCTCCGCCCTGTCACTACTGTTCATGCAGCTCATGCTTCCCCAACTTGGTGCCCTCCACATGCGTGTGACTAGTGCATGGGGGAACTCTAGTTCAACACATCTTGAGAGGCCCAAGTTAGGGGAGGCTGGTGTACCTTCTTATAGTTGCAGGCTGCATAATCTATTTTCACTCTGCTGAATATACATTTTGAGGATACTCCATGCCTTTTTTCTGCCAATGAAAAGATGCAGCAATAAAGTATACATAAACTGATGCAAAGTTGGACAGGTATGCTGGGCACAGAATCCAATGCAACACTGGACAGTCAGTGTGGCATAGTGGTTAGAGTTTTGGACTGGGGACCTGGGAGATCCAGTTGGTAGTGCAACTCATCAATGAAGCTCCACAGGTGACTTTGGGTCAGTTATGGACTACCCCACAGGCTTGTTGTTATGAGGATAAAAAATGGAGTGGAGGAGAACTCTGCAACGCTGCAAGTTCCTCCCAGGAGAAGACATGACAGGCTATAAAAGCAACTTCCCCATCTCCAGTGAGTGAGCACCTCCCAGATATTTTCTAATGGAAAATGAGAAAAAGGATGAACATTCATATTCCCAACTGCACAAAACTGAGTTTCCACTGCACAGGCTTTTTTTACAACTGCACAGAATGCATGCACATTAGACTAAATCTTCTGTGCCATGGCTCTGATTTAAGAGAAGAAATATCTTGTCCCAGGTACAGTCCTTGGCATATCCATTTAAGAATTCCCAGGCAGGTGAGTTGGGAAAAACAGACCACTTGCTTGCATGATGATTGCTGCTGGCCTGAATACATGACTGGCCCAGAGAAGATGAACTGGCACTCAGAATACTCAGCTTCATTTGCTTAAGAACAAATTATGAACATACATAGAACAGATGTTCTTGCTTGCTCAGGTTTAATAATTGGTTTTCATTGTTCTTGGGCCAATACACAGATAAGGAAAATTTTAACATTCAAGCATAAAAAACTTTTCTTGTACTATCAGCAAATGAGCAAGAGCGTGAGGTAACTGTAACTCCTCACTTTCTCAACCCCACCTCCTTGAACTGATAGCATTGCTTAGCAGAAAGTAGCACTAAAATGCATTGTGTTTTTAATATGATAATTAATATAATAATTCTGTGCATTTTCCATCATTCAATAATTTACTGCTGGACTTCTGTGGATTTTTATGTGTCAGCCGAAACCACTAAGATATCACAGCTAGACTGACAGGAATTCAGGAACAGAGACACTCCTCAGTAGTTCTGAGTAAAACAAACATTGGATAGGATAGCCTAAAGAGGGGTCATTAAATGTTTAAGTCTGACACAGCAAGGTTTTTTCTGTATAATCCATCTCATTTGCAGTTGATACAAATGGCATTTTATATAAGCTGCATTTGACGCAAGTCACAGCATGTGATTACATTGCTTTGCTATACATCTACAGATGATTCAGAAGCTAGACAGTCAACTCCTCATAGCTTATGTGAAAAATCCAGAGTGGTTAATTTCTCTTCATGGCTGGGAGCTGTGTGAGCATCATTTCATTAGGACATTTGGAAAACAATCAGGATACAACTACTTGTTCTGGAAATACCTCTGCTTGAACAATAACCTTGACTTGATTCTTCTTGCGGGGATAAATGCTGCCAGTTCAGAAAGATACAACCCTTCAAAATTTCATTTCTAATTTATGGTTAATCTGCCTTTGATATCATAGATATCGCATGGGTGGTATTTTCCCACTTCTATTATTTGCTAACTTTTGAAGAAATTAAATATGCAATCAGGTATTACCAAAGTTATATTTGAAGCTCGTGAGATACCCATTTTTGGTATTTTTTCTAGATTGAAGGATCCCAAATAGTTAGGCTTTACTCCCAGAATATCCATAAAGCCCATGTTCCAATAGGACCATTACAGGAATAACCCGGAACATAGCATATTATTGCTGCAATGCTGCTTGCCTTACTTTATCCCACCCCAACGATCATTCTTCAGTTGCAGTTCCTTCTTTCCATTCAAGCAATGTTGTTTCCATTCAAGTCTATGATAAGAATACTGGAACTCTGGTCTTGGAAGAACTATTGGGCAGAATTACATGGACTCTCTTGTTGTGGAGAATTGCAGAAAAACAATAGCTACTGTTTTGATCACATTCAATGCAGCAGACAGAGCCTTTGGGGGTTGCCATCAAAGCAAATATGCATCTTTCAGTAACAAGTTCAGTTCTACAGGAAATTATCACAGAGAAGACTGTGCAAAGCTGGTACAGTGCAGACCATACTAGAAAGAAGGTTCTTCCACAGGAAGGAGAGAAGAGAGAAAGAGAAATAAAGGTTGAACATTTCAGGTATTATATGCATAAAAGGGAAATGTAGACCGAAGGAGATTACATATATTAATAAAGCTCTACTGTCTCTCTGTGTAGATTAGGGAGTTATCTACAAATTGCAAAACCTGATAGTACCAAAAGTCATTCCAAGTTAAACCCTCAAGGTAAGCCATTCTACATGGATACTGCAGGAGTTACTGAATTGCTGAATACATGTGGACATTTAAAAATCCACTGTAGCTATAAGCAAGCAAAAGAAGAATCTACATAATTTGGGAAGTGAGAAGAGCATAGAAGGCACAGAATGAAATCAACAAAAAAGTGTGGATGAACTATGGTTGTCTAGATGTTTTTGAACTCCAACTTTCATCAACCCTTGTCAGTACAGTCAAGGATAATGGAAGTAGTACTACAATAACGTCTGAAGGGAGACAGGTCCTACACACCTGTAAAAGTGTTTTGGCTTGAGACACTAATTCTTAGGGATCAGTGGCTTTGTTAGTCTTTGTCTTTCCAATGAATTCAAACTCCTTCCATTATTTGCTTACAATGCTGTGAATTATTATTTTAATTGCATGAAAATCTGTATTTCATAAGGTACACATGAATGTACACATTTTTAAAAGCACACATTAAAGTGTGCATTGATTAAAGTGTATTTAAGCTCATTTTGAAATGTTCACTTGTTGAACTTTGCAGAATGCTCTGGAATGTGGCAATTTCTAACAGCCAGTTCCACTCAAGCACATGTTTAAAGGTAAAGGTAAAGGTTTCCCTTTGACATTAAATTCCAGTCATGTCTGACTCTAGGGGGTGGTGCTCATCTCCTTTTCCTAGCCGAGGGAGCCAGCATTTGTCCACAGACACTTCCTGTGGTCATGTGGCCAGCCTGACTAAACACCGAGGTGCATGGAACGCTGATCCATTCCCACCAAAGTGGTACCTTTTTATCTACTTGCATGTGTATGCTTTTGAACTGCAAGGTTGGCAGGAGAGTGCGGGAGCTCACCCTATCTGTGGAATCGAACTGTCGACCTTTTGATCAACCAGCCCAGCGGCTCAGTGGCTTAACCCACTGTGCCACGGCATCCAACCAAACCACATGTTTGCAAGATGAAAATTGTGTAAATCCATAAAACTTCTAGATGGAGCAAACTTATTTCACATCCTTTCTAATCCCTCTCTCCAAAGCAAATGCTAATTGCAAAAAAGAGATTTTCCTCAGGACTGCAGCAGAGAATGAAAGAGCAACAATCCCTTTCCCACATGCTCTGACCCTAATATTGATCAGCCCCTTCCTCCATTGTTGATTCCACTTCCATTTTTGAAAATCCACATTTTAGTTGCAATGACACATATACCATCAGGTTGTAGGTCAACTCTGCATCATTATTGCAATTAGTTCACATCCAGAGTGCAAGATTACATTGGAAACTTTGGTATGAACTTTAGCATTGTATGGAGATAATTTTTGGAGTGAATTCTAAGCACCTCTAATTTCTGTTGATTCCATTGGAAGAGAATGACTAACTTTCATTTAAGATTTCTACTATCAGGAGAAAAATCTGGCAATTTCTTCCCCATTATCCCATTCATTTTTAGTCTCAGAAGAAGCTCGTGTTTCTTTTCAATGGTAGCACCACTGCCAGATTTTCTGTTAATATTTTGATAAGCAAAAGTCACAGACTCTTGTCAAATGTTCTTTTGCCTAATACCACGTTTCATTATGGGCAAACTGACCTAGCGGAGAAAAATAATCAACAGAAGAAAATAATTGCTGGACCTGCAAAGATTTTTCATGTAGGTTGGCCCAGGATTTCCTTTGCCGTGGTTATTTTAAGCATCCTGCACTTAACTATAAAAGTGTTGCCATACTTCAATTCAATTTACAACTGAACTCAGGTAAGGACTCTAGTTTGGAGCAGCTAAAGGACACCAAATATTAATTTGCTTCATTCAAGAGCCAGAATTTAGCCATTCTTTAATCTTTACCTTTTATGGTGAGTTCAGCTTTGCTGCTTGCTTGTCCTAGTTCATTGATGGCCACCACCTTGTACTGGCCTCCATCTGATGGTGTCACTCCTGGGATCACAAGTGAGCATACTCCAAAGTCATTTTTGCTGAAGAAGCTATGATCCTGAGAGATGTTCTTGCCATCCTTGTACCAAGTTACCTGGGGTGCTGGATGGCCAGTCACAGCACAGCTCATGTGGCAATCAAATCCTAAAGTCACTACATGTGGTTTGAGTGGTACAAGGAATCTTGGAGGCTGAGTCTGATTGATCCCCTTATATCTTGGAAGCCTGAGCTCAAATTTAGCTGTAGGACATACACAAATGAAACCCAGACAGAAAGGAAGAAATTAAGAATTAAGTGATTGAGTTCACATGCTATACTTAACATTTATGTGGGAAATGCAAAGGACAATACTGCCTTAATAGGGTGCATTTCTTACAGTTTCTTTCTCTTTTCTTAATCTATTAAAGAGAGATTCCATCAAGAGATAGCTTTGAGGATCAGGCCAGTCAGTCCTTTTCTACTTTGTGCCCCCTTCACATATGTTCACTATAAATTTATTCCAACATGTTTTTGCATTAGTCCAGGATATTTAAAACATGGAGTGCTGGATTTTAATAGTATTTTGAGCACTTTTTTCATTTAAAACATACTTTTCCAAAAGCATTTTAGCTCCTAGTACACATTCATAAATGCATTTTATCTTAATATGAGCATTTCGTAAACTGTTGCTAGTTTTAAAGCTGAGAACTATGTCTCATTCTTTGGAGGAAGAATAAAATCTGATAGATGGCAATGTTCCATCAGCACATTAGCCTGAGAAGTTTAGATCAGATCAGCTCCTACTGGAATTCTCTAAGATCAGCATTTCTTGTGAGCTAATGCATTTGTGTAGACATGCCCTTTTTAATTGGCACAGATTGGGTATGTTCCCTATCCAACTGATGAGACAGTTTTTCTGGTACTGTGGGTCATCCAATGAAACTTAGTAGCAGTGGATTCAGAACAGGCCAAAGAAAGCACTTCTTCACTCAACAGATAATTCATTTAAGGAATCCATTCCAAGCCCCTTTCATAGTTTTAAAAGGACTTTGGACAAATTCATGCTCGATGGCAGGAAATTTTAATGGATATTGGGAACCCCTAGAGGCAGGGTCAGAGTCCCACTAAATATCAGTTACTGGGTGGAAACTACGAGGAGGGTTCTGGTTGTTTCCATCATTTTCTGTCTGTGGATGTCCCAAAAGCATATGGTGGCTGCTGTGGAATTCAGGATGCTAGGCTGAGTGGCACTTCGGTCCAGCTCTTCTTACATACTTAGCTTTGCTAATTCTCACTGTAAATCCATGTTTTTGGATTCTGTACAATAACTTTCCCCAGCCAGATGTCCTCTAGATGTTTTGAACCTCAATTCCCACCAGCCTGAGCCAGTATGATTAATGGTTAGGAACACTGGGATTTGTAGCCCAAACCATCTGGAGGGAAGCAGGTTGGGAATGGCCAGTGTATATGTAATCCTCAAAGGATTATATATTTTAAATTGATTTCTTCCTTCTATATTAACTGACAAAGTACTAGTGGCAAAACTATCAATTTCATTTTGTAGATTGCCCTATCCAATTACAAACAACTTCCATTGTTCCAACCAATGTGTTTTTATTCTGTTAGTATATTTTATGTATTGTAAGCTGCCTAGGAAGGCCTCGACCATTATAGGCGGCCTATAAATACATGTAAATAAATAAAACAAATAAAACAAACAAACAACAAAACTCCCTGGAGATCCTCAAGGAAATCTCAGGGCAAATTGCATGTAATTTCCATTACACAACCGTGAATAAGCAGTCAACAGCCAGATACAGGTATATCTTTTTTTCTATTTACCTTTTTCCTTTCGAATGCTCCACGGCTGCACAGTTTCAGAAGGCTCACTGATTCCCATACAGTTCTTTGCCAGCACTCTGAAGAAATATTCCCGACCAGGCATAAAATTTGCAACAGTGCACTTGTTGGTGTAGATCAGGTCAGCCACCAGTTGCCATGATCCTTTGGTGGAGTCACGCATCATGACCATATAGTTTAGGGTACCCTCTTTCTTTTCTGTTGGGGAGGGTTCCCATATCAGCGTCACTGTTTCAGGGACCTTCTCAACAAGCTGAATAGGACCAGGAGATTCTGGGGCATCTGCGCAGAGAAAACAAACAGAATCAGAAGACACAACCAGAATATAGTATTAGCCAAAATGGTAACGCATTAGGCAAAATGTTATCAAAATGTATTTGGAGTTACTAGATTAATAAATTCTTGGATTAATCAAATTTTCTTTCTGGTTGAGAAGTGTTTTCCAAACTTGACTTGGTTAGCCTTTGCTGTTTCAGATAGCCTCAGCCTTACAGTGGGTCCACTAAACCTTTATTTTAATCCGTTAAATACTCATATTGTTAATTGTTCAACAAGTGAGGCAGCTAACTCAAAATCAGATGTTGTTTTTTATCTGTAATCCACCTTGAGCTGTAGAGAAGTTTCATTTTAAAGCAATACCAGGTGGGCAACATTTATCGCTTGCCTATGGAAAGGAGCCATTTTCACCCCCTTTGTCTCTCAGACAGAGATGTCTGTTCACAGTTGGTGCAGCTGTTTTTGTAAACTGTAAACTAGGGGAGCTGACAGACTGAGAGCTGGTGACTTCTCCCGTTTGCTGACAGGTTCCCAGAAGGGCTTGCTGTCACATGTGCACCACAATCCTTTTGACATTGCTAAATATGCTGGCTTCTGACTTCAAAATGCCCCATCAGCCATTTCTTTTCCTGGACAATAGGCAAGATACTTGACTGACACCTACTTAGCCAAAGGACTGCAATCTAAGACTATCCATGGTACCAAACTAATGCTGATGAGGGGTTGTGATCAACAAATTGTATGAGCACAGTTGCATGTGCTCTGTGAGGTCTTTACCTAGAACTTGCACTAGGAAGCTGAACGTCACTTTACTGCCATGTTCAGTTCGCAGAATGATGGTATAGTGTCCACTGTCGGAAAAGTCAGCCTTTGGTATGATGAGCTGGCTGATGCCTTTTCTGGTGGCAACTGTAGCCTTTGCAGGCAGTGCAAGCCCATCCTTCAGCCAAACCACATCAGGGGTTGGGGAAGCCTACAAAATAGGAAAGATACATTAAATATAGGCTCTTCTTAGTAATACCATACCATTTACATAGGCCAGGGTAGGGATGGGGAGGAAATATCTTTGCATTTAAAGTTTGTCTTTTGCATTTAAAGTAATATTATCAAATTTCATCCTTTCAGATCAATAAGTGAAGTGAAACACATTTATCAAAATTGGCACTTCTCTGAATTTTGCAATAGAATTCTCTGACCCCACCAAAAAAATGCACACAATATATGCATATTAGGGAAAAAGCACATACAATCGTGTGTGTGTCTTTGAAAATAATGTTATGCATGCATTATACTAAGAAAATAACTTGCAAACTGTTCATATTGGGCAAGATTTCATACAAAAAGCCATATGTTCACAGAAATGTGCACAAAAATGTACACATTTTCATGCAACCAGAGTTCTAAAGTTTGCAGGTGCAGCTTCATTGGCATGGGGCAGGAGGGAGATGATCTGGTGGTGAGTAGGGACTGTACTGGAATATGATGAATTTTGGATGTGCCTCAGACCTTCCTCCTCATGAGCAGGGGTAAAACACAACTTTGCAACTAGCAACAGCAACAACAACAATTATAGCTGAAGTGTGAAATCACTTGGCACGGGGAAGATAATTTCAGCATCCCCTTGATGAACCTAAAGTGACTTAAAAATGACCTTTTCAGAAGTGTTTAAGATCTGTGCAGTATGATCAGGTTTACAGGTTGTGCTATTGACTTTTTAATGAAAAAAGGATGGAGTTCTTGAATGAGACACTTCTCACAGGGGCTATACTTACCTCAAAGGGAATGCGCACACGGATTGTATTCCCTGATTTCACAATCATAAAGCTTTTGACAGTGTCCTTGACTAAGAGCTTGGGTTGAACTGGAAAGGAAGGGACATGTTAACAATTTACCTCATATTAGCACATTCTCAGATTTTCCTGATAAATTGGAAACAGTTTTAAAACCATCATCCTCAGTAAATACACAGCGAATACTTTAAGGACACATGGTACCCAGCATAAGAACTGGTCACAGCAGGTGAATCAAGTTCTGTACATAATCTATCAATGAACAGCTGCTGTTCTAAGAATACTATGTGCTGTAATCCAAGACATCTGGTGGGCACCAGGTTAAGGAAGACTGATTTGAGCATTGAAACTACTTTTAAGATATGAGTGATTATTTGGTGTGGGGACAGCTATGTAGATGACACTTTCATATTTGCTGCACATTAGAAGAAAAAGCATGTGTCATCCCTCCACAGTCTAATGCAGCCATCTCCTGCTTTCTCTTCAGCCTCAGTTATAAAGTTTGATCAAATGGTCCCAAATACAGTCTCCTCATTGCTCATTCAGGGTGATGCTGATCCATCCCTCCACAGTCTCAGTGATATTGGGCTGATGCAGTAACATCTCCTTCTGCTTGACTTCCTTATATTTTCATCCTCCTCCTGGCTTCAAGACTTCAATATTGGTTCCTCACAGCACCTCCCTCTCTCCTTCTCTCCCACCATTGCTTTCTATTTGTGTCTTCTTCATACAGTCTTTATAACTTCATACAAGTTTTGGATGTAGTCAAACTCAAACTCTCTGAGATTGTACAGGAACAAATCAAAGCTATCTAAAATGTACCTAATGGTGTACAATTTTCCAGTGAATGCCCATTATGCACAGCTTACTTCCCTATATTCCTGAATGGTCACAAGATGTACCAATACGTGTCTTACATCATGGATAAATGCTGTAGGTGATTACTCCTTTACACTGTAATAATAACTACTATATAGTAAACTTTTAAGCAGCTATTTTGGAGACCCACTGGTTTAGTGGGAAAAACCCTCAGTTTTTCCCACTAAATTATTTCCTCTTTTTAAATCTCTCCATGCCTCTCACCCCAGTGCTGTCTCCTCTCCTCTCTTTTCCGCACTTCTATCTCCCATCACTCTGTTTAAGCTCATCCCCTTTTCCGTGTCCTTCTGTCTTGCTGTTCTCTGTGCTTAGAACAGCCTTCATGTCTCCATTAATCAGGCTGTGTTGCTCTTCTCCTGTATGTCCACTCCTTTAATGAACTGTTCCCACAACTACCTCAGTCTTGAGTTACCTGCCCTCCCATTGGAATTTACTACTCTCTCTCTGTCCCCCTCATCCTCTTAGCTGTAATCAGATTCCTTATCTCTGTCCAGCACCAGCCCACCCATATGCAACCACACCTGGTTTCTATTGTGTGCAGCATAGTTATACATGCATAGTATATCCTGTTGCCGCTCCTGCTACTGCAGCACAAACAGCAGCAGTAATAGTATGGAATTTCACCTAAATATGGTATTTCTGATGGAACTACTTTGCTGGACGTTCAAATCACAAATCAGAAACTGAACATTGTAACTCACCAATAGGAGGTATGGTTTGGACGCAAGTGTCAAGTTCAACAGGGTCACCAAGCCCCCCATCATTGATGGCTCTCACACGTAGGAAATACATCTCCCTGGCTTTTAGCCCCCTAACTGTATATGTAGTTGCTGGTATTGGGAGGGCATTGCATTGAGTCCACTTCAGAACATCAGAATGCCGTATCTCTACAATATAACCCTTGGCACAGCTTTCATCCTCTGCCTCCGGTTTCATCCATGACAAGGAGATGCTGCAGTAGTCAGTGCTCACCACTTTAAGATCCCTCACTGGACCTGGAGGATCTGAAAAGAGGAAGAGTCATTGATATTTCTCAATTCCAAGCAGCTTTTAAAATATAAAAATACTTCCTCCCATTGATTACGAGGGGCGTTCAATGTATTCTCCGTATCAAGTTGATTTGCTATTGATGTGGGTAATTTAATTATTTCATTAGCTTATGACACTATCTGAGGGTATTCATGCAAAATTTCAAATAAGTGTGATCATTAGTTCCCTAGTAATCCTCAGTGAAAGGCGGCCATAATGATTGATGCGATAATGTTGAAGAAAATAGAGCACCGCACTGTGATTAAGTTCCTTACAAAACAAGGAAAAAGTCAAAAAATCATTCACGAAGAGACGGTGCCTGTTTACCAGAACTCTGCACCTTCATTATCTACTTTTCAAAAGTGCTCAAGTGAATTTAAAAGGGGCAGAGAAAGCATTGAAGACGACCCTCGCTTGGGCAGGCTGGTTACTGCCACTACAAAAGAAAATGTGAAAAAAATTGAGAAACTTGTATTGGAAGATGCCCGAATAATAATAAAAATGTTAGCAGAGATGACAAACCTATCTGTTGGTACCATATTTACTATTTTTCATGACCATCTTAACCTTTCAAAGGTCTGTGCAAGACGGGTGCCACGAATGCTCATGGCACCTCAGAAACAAGTGCGAGTCGAGGGCTGTAGGGAGTTTTGCGAGCTCTGTGGTGAAGATCCATCAAGTATTTCGACTGGATTGTTACTGGAGATGAAAGTTGGGTTCATCACTATGACCCTGAAATAAGCAGGAGTCCATGCAGTGGCATAAAAAAGGTGCTAACCCTCCGAAGAAATTCAAAGTCACTCCATCGGCTGGAAAAATCATGGCCACAGTGTTTTGGGACTCAAAGGGAATTTTATTGAGTACACAAAAAAAGGTGAAACTGTAAACACAGCATCTTATGCAACCACTCTGCGTAATTTAAGAGAAGCAATTAATGAAAAAAGGCGGGGAAAACTGACCACAGGTGTGTTGCTTCTTCACAACAACACGCCATTCACATGGCGCGTGTTTTGAAGGCCGCTGTGCGAGACTGTGGTTTCGAAGAAATGAACCACCCACCCTATAGCCCGGACCTGGCCCCCTGTGACTACTACCTATTTCCACATTTAAAAAAAGATCTTCGTGGAAAGCGATTTTCCAACGATGAAGAGCTCAAGGTAGCAATTAACACACATTTTTAGACAAGGAGAAAGGGTATTTTTTACAGGGAACTGAAAAGTTAATTTCTAGATGTAATAAGTGTATTGAAGTTAATGGGGGATTACATTGAAAAATAAAAATTATTTCAATTTATTATTCCTTTTTCTTCATGCTGATACCAAGAATACATTGAACACCCCTCATATCTAGCTTTGGTTTTTTTTATGTGTCTTGAAACAAAACTAATGGAATATTCCTGCATATCTTTTCTTCCCTGTATAAGCACTGTGTCCTGTTGGCACATTACAATTAGATGGAGCAGGATCAGATACTTGCAGAAGGGAATTGATGGGATGGAAAAGAATTGGCAAGGCGTAAGTGCCCTATTGGATTCTGACCCATGTGGCTAGATTCTGACTATGTAAATATTCTGTGACCTGCCCAGTAGAATAAATGGAGTAAATTACTTACTCATGGGATCTCGTGCAAAAGCAGCTTCTGAAGGTGCACTGGGCTCACCCACCCCAGCAGCATTGATGGCAGCCACACGGAATTCATACTGCAGTCCTTCCTTTAGATCAGTCACCACATACTTTCTGTCTATAGAATAAAATAAATCAAGGAGAATTATGTTCTGAACTAGCTGGGATTTTCTTTGGGGTGTGGAGGTGCAACCTATAGTCTTAAAAAGATGTTCTGATTTGAATTCTGTGGTCAGCTGGTGCAGACTGAAAATGGAAAACTAAAACAATGCCACCTTTGCCAAAAACCCTAATAAAAATACTCTGCTCTTTGCATTTGATTTTTATAGGTTCTTCAGGCCAAATTCACATCATGTAGGGCAGGCATGTCCAAAGTCCGGCCCGGGGG